CAAATAAAACCATGCAACCACTCTCGCGCGTCTGCCGCGCGCGCATTTCGAACTCCTTCCAAAACCTTCATCGCGGGCGCGAAGACGCCGCCATCGTCATCGGCGCGTTCGGCATCGGCGCCGTCATCGCCACTATCATCACCACCGCGTCTACAATCCTCGTCACCAACATCGCCACTATCATCGCCATCGCGTCTACAATTGTCGACGCTGCCATGATACCGCACCCGCCCAAGCCGCCGACTCGCACTCAAATGCCCGCTTGGATGCGCCGAGCGGTCAGCGCCACCGCAGCCTCGTCGGTCGCGCCAAACTACCCGGTCGCTGCGCGCGCGCGCGAAATCGCGGGCTGGCGCGGCCGTAGAGATGCACCAGCCAGCGCCAAGTACTCATCGCAATAACCGCCGCATGGGGGGGTGCAAACCAACTTGCGGTTGGGCGGGTAAAATGTTTGCGCGAGCAATGGAGTGGGCAACTCACTGCGAACAGAACTCAACTTCTTATATATATATATATACACTAAAAAACAAAAAAAAACTGATTTTACCGCCATCACCCACCCGGGGTTATCCCCCACGCGATAAGATTGGAAATTCATATATGGTCGTGACCCTTCGTTCATATCCCCTATGAATTCGTGCCATCCCAGGCCGGCCGGCATCGCCCCCCCCCCCCCGGCCATCCTCTGCAAAAAAAGCGCGCACACTTATGCGTCAAAAAACCCGGAAAAGTTGCCCCGAATCCTTCCAAAAAACAATGCGAAGTGCACGCGCGCGCAGCGCCGCGCGAGCAGGCCGAAATCCTGTTAAAAAAACTGCCAGTTTCGGAAGGAAGTCAAAATCGAGCGTCCAAAAACATACGAGAACACTAGGTTTCGCAGCAGGGATGTTCAACAAAAGCGCGTGCGCCCGCCCTTGCAAATTCTTTAGAAAACCGCTAGGTATGTAGATTTTCACAAACGCACTACCAAACGGGGCGCGCGCATGTGAAAAAAGTTCGAATGTCCTCGCGGGCGCGCCGTCGCGAGAACCCGCGGCAAAAAAATAAACGAAGTGCGCGTGCGCGCCGCCGCGCGCGCACGCTGACATAAATAATTCAAAAACTGTAGGTTTCGGGGGGGGCTTCAAAATTGAGCGCCCAGAAAACATGCAAAAACACATGGTTTCGCAACGCGGATTCTCAACAAAAGCGCGCGCGTGCTCGCGCGAATTCCCATGAAAACCATGAGTTATCAACATTTGGAAGAAAATGCTACCACGTGGACCTCGAGCGCGCGCAAATCGAAATCGCTGGAACGCCCTTGCGCGCGCGCAGGGGCGACGCGGATCAATGCGAGCCACTCTCGCGGGTCTGCCGCGCGCGCATGTCGAATTGCTTCGTGAACCTTCTCCACCGACGCGAAGACGCCGTCGTCGTCGTCGTCGGCGCGATTGGCGTGCGCGCCGTTACTGGCCGCGCCGTCGTCGCTGTCAGCATCGTCGGCAACGTCGCCACTATCATCATCGCCGCGTCTACAATAGTCGGCGCGGCCATGATACCGCACCCGCCCAAGTCGCAGACGTCGCACTCAAGTGCCCGCTGGGATGCGCCGAGCGGTCAGCGCCACCGCGGACGCGTCGGTCGCGCCAAACTACCTGGCCGCTGCGCGCGCGCATGCGCGGGCCAGCGCGGCCGCAGAGATGCGCCAGCCAGCGGCAAGCGCTCATCGCAATCGCCGCCACATGTGCTTTGCAAACCAAGTTGCGGGTGGATGCGCGGGGCGTTTGCGCGAGCAGTGGAGCGGGCAACTCACTGCGAGCAGAAATTGTTTCCCTCTCTGAAAACATGGGCCCCACCACCACCACCACCCCGGCGTTGAAGATTCGCCTTTTCGCATTGCAACTTGCATATGATTCTGCCCAACCGCCCATCCTAACCACGAGCTTACACAATCCAAGGGGGGCCGGCATCGCCCCCCCCCCCCCCCGCCAGCCTCTGCAAGAAAAACGACGCGCGCTTGTTGGCCAGAACTCATGAGTGGCCAAGAATCCGTCGCCACCCCCCGAACAGAAAAACGGCGCGAAGTGCGCGCGCGTCGTCGCGCGCGCGCGCCGACGCCCCCCCCGGAAAGAAAAACAAACAAAACGAAAAACTCGCGGCGCGGATAATCAAAAAAGCAACATGCGCGAGCCCTTGCGATTTAACAGTACAACCATAAGTTGTTTCAAACTTTTCAGAAAACGCTACCAAACTGGCTTCGCGCGCGCGTCGAAATCTTTCGAGCGCCCACGCGCGCGCGCCGCCGCGAGAACCCGTTTTGCAGAACAAGAAACGAAACGCACGCGCGCGTCGTCGCGCGCGCGAGCCGAAATCTTTCAACGGAAAAATTACCGAACAGGCTTCGCGCGCGCATGTCGAAATCGTTCGAACGCCCTTGCGCGCGCGCTGTGGTGGTGCGATCCGCGTCGCATAATGCCACGCGCCACCCTCGCGCGTCTGCCGCGCGCGCATGTCGAATTCCTTCCTAAACCGTCTCCACCGACGCGAAGACGCCGTCATCGTCGTCGGCGCGACTGGCACGCGCGCCGCCACTGGCCGCGCCGTCGTCGCCGTCGGCATCGCCACCAGCACCGCTGCTATCACCGTCGCGTCTACATGTGCCGACGTTGCCATGATACCTCGCCCACCCAAGTCGCCGACTCGCACTGCTGGGATGCGCCGAGCGGTCAGCGTCGCCGCGGCCGCGTCGGTCGCGCCAAACTACTTGGCCGCTGCGCGCGCGCACGCGCGGGCCGGCGCGGCCGCAGAGATGCGCCAGCCAGCGCCAAGCACTCATCGCAATCGCCGCCGCATGAGGTTTGCAAACCTGGTTGCGGGCGGACGGGCGGGACGTTTGCGCGAGCAGTGGAGTGGGCAGCGCACTGCGAACATAATTTTATCGCACCGCATAGATCCCCCTGCTCAGTAGGACATCCGTCGCAGTTCTGCCCTCGCGCGGGCACGCCCGCGAGGAAAGCGCACCGCGGGGCAAAATGGGCCGCCTAGGCGAGGTTGCCTGGTGGCCCCTGCACCACGTGCCCGCAGCGTCTCATCTGGCCCGTCACGCGGATGAGCTGCCGAGCGTTCGCTGGGCAGGCAATCTTGCATGTCGGGGTCGGAGTTCGCCGTTGACCAGATCATGGGGCCCCAGGTGCGGGGGCGGCGCGCGTCGCCGCTGCCATCGCCTGCGCCGACGCAGACGACGCAGCTTACGATGGCGAACATGCCGACTCCAATAGCCATCCATCTGGAATGTAGCCCCCTGCACATGTCGCACATGCGCTGGGGGCCGGGGATCCTCAAGCGGCTTTGCATGAAGCGCCGAGGGCCCTTGCCCCGGACGCGTTCCCCGTCGCAGCGCATTGGGCGCCCGCTTGTTTCGCGCGCTGTAGTTCTCTCGGTGCTCAGAGCATCCCGCGGCACAATCGCGATCATGTTTTTCGTGCGTCGCGCGGTCGCTGCGCTGAGCACCGCCAAATGCACGATCGTCTCGAGGAATGCGCATCGGGACCCCTTCCTGCCCAGCTAGCGGGTTTGAGAGAATAGAGCGAAAAATCCGGCCCCAAGGCGCGGCGCCTCGGACTGGTGGCGCCCCAGTCGCCACGCCCCCCACTGCATGACCTCGGGGGCCTGAAGAAACAATTCCCATGCTCCCCACTGCATCCCCGCCCGGCACTAGCGACGCAGTCGCCGGATGCCCCATCTCTGCTTGCTTCTCCGAGGGCCATCGGTACACAGTCCCAAGAAGCTTGGGGCCTTGTTCTGACGCCGCGGGTTTAAACGTTGTGTCGAGCAACTGTCGAACACCTGTGACGGTATGGGGTCCGCGAGCTGCCTGGACACAGTCCGAACATGCCTGGGATGGGTTGCAGAGCGGTCCTTGTAGATCCTGGGGGTGTTGTCCTTGATGAAGTACTGGTTGTGCCCGTTGTCGGCCACTGGTCCTGGCGGATGGGCGGATGCCCCGCTGGACTCGAGAGTAACGCCTCCTGCCATAGTGAGCGGGAAAATGTGCATGAAGGCAATGATGTTGAAGGCAAAAGTAGGGCGGAATGTAGAGCAGCATGTAGAGCGGCACGACGTGGCGTTCCTGCAGATGGGCTGGTCCAGCCATGACGTACCCATGAATAACGTTCGCTGCACGCGCCGCGATGTAGAGCGACGGAATCCAGGAACCATGGCCATCGAGGCGACGCGGGACATGGCAAGCAAGCGCGAACCTGCTCCGCTACCAATGGGGATGTTAAGACTGATGTCTACAAACAAGGAAATTGTAGAGCGAGGTACACCTCGTGAAGCAAGTACTACTATTCAAAGCGGGCGCTCTAAAGGACTCGCGAGGTCCAATACGGCAGCGGCAAAGACAAGGAGAGAAACAGACGAAGCAGGACGGAATACCGTTCGAATTGGAGGAGGAGGAAGAGGAGGAGGAGGAAGAGGAGGAGGATGGGAGGCAACCCGTGAAAGGTCTTCGAGAGAACATGTACAAGCGATTGGGCCCGATGAAAAAGGTGCCATTGAGCTGGACTGGCCAGAGTAAGCCCAGGGCGAAGCCAGATTTAGCGAAGTTGGAGAGGTGGAAGGCGCGTCGCCCTTTCCGGTAAACTATAAGGTACCGATACCGCTACTCCCCAGACCTCTCCCAGGGTGCGCTCTGACCAGAATCTCAAGGCGAATTCAGCGGTGGCGACGAGGATCTCCCAGAAGGCAGAAACATGCGAAAACGAGGGAAGGGTAGCGGCATGGGTATCTTCCGGCGGCGAACAAGCATCCCTCTAGTAAACCTCCCCTTAGTGAAAACGGCCTAGGACCGAAACCGACGGACCTGGATCCGCAAAACTGACGGCCGCGACGTCATCTCGCGAACCGAAAACGGCCAACTCCTCAATCGACGTGTCAGGGTAGGAGGTCTATCAAGCTCCGAATCGTTTCCTCCTCGCAGCATCCTCCTTCTTCCTCCGCTGACACCGAGCCCAGGTCTCCTGGATGCCCTCCGCCTGCTCCGACAGTTTTGCGAGCAGGTCGCCTCTCCGGGCGAGCTCCTTCCGCGTCACGCCGTAGGCCTGCTGGCAGCCAAGAGGGGCAAGAAAAGGGGGAGACGAGGAGGAAGAGGGACGAGGAGCAGAACGAGGAGGAGGGAAGGAGAGGGAGGAGGGAAGCGCGGGAGGAAGCGTAGGAGGGAGGAAGGAAGAACAGGACCCGCCGATCGAACGACTCCACCGAGCAGTCGGCGATCAGTGGGCGATTGGGGGTCTATGCATCCCGCCCTATGCCCATTCCCCCCTATCGCAGCCCCTGGCCAAAGCCCCAGCCCCGTCAGGCCGACCAGCGACCAATGTCGACTCCGGCAGTGGAATTTTAGAGCGCGCCTCCGAGGGGTTAGGAGACCACTACTGGGAGGTCTTCGTCGGAAGGATTCAGGACAAGTAAGCCCCATTAGGGGGCTACTACGCCGTATCAGGCCGCGGATAAAGTGGAAGCAAGCCGGATTAAGCGGGATTAGGCCGGATTAAGCGGGATGAAGCCGGATTGAGCCGGATGAAGCCAGATTTCGAACCAGGGCAAGGCCAGAACTTGACCTCCCAGGAGTTGCATCCGAACGGTGGAGGGCGCGCTTCCGGCCCGCCCACCGTCGTGCGACGCAGCGGCGCGCCCGCATCAGCCGCACAGCTGCAGCAGGCGCCGCCGGCCTGGCCAGGGCTGGGGCATGCCGGCTTAGCGCCTCGCTTGTGGCCCCAAGCGGAGCCATCCTCCAGCCGAAGAGCCGCACCTCTGCTCTCGTGTCTCCGGGTCTCGATGTACGGAGGGGGGGGGCCTGAGCACGCTCCGACGGGCTGTTGTAGAACCCCAGCTCGGCGGCGAGCGGACGGGGGAAGTGAGAAGGACGAGGCTTTCTCAGAAGGCGGCGGGGCTTCTAAAAAGCCCTCTGGCCTTCTGAACAGCGTTCTGTGTCTTCGGGGGAGGTTTAGAAGACATCCGAGCCTTCTGGGAAGGTCCGCCCTCTCTCACTCCCTCCCCAGGCTCACCGCCGACCAGCGTCTCGGGACACCTGCATCCAAAAAACAGGCCCTCCTCCTGGCGAAACGCATGCGAGCCTAATCACATACAGCAAACACATAGACGGCCACTGGAGAAACCAGAGAACGTCCCCGCGAGGGAATGAAGAGAGTCTAGAAGCATGCCATCGAGTCAACGGCTTGCCTTCTGCGCCAAACAAAGCAGGAAACCTGAAGCAAGGCCCAAAAGAAGCTAAGACCTCTGGGGCGAGCATGGCGGGACCCTTCGTGGACCCCACACTTCCCCTGCGGCCCGCACCCCGAAACTCCACTCCCAGCCTCCCCCACGGCGCGCAGGCGAGCATGCGTGGCACAGCCCCTGGCTGAACTCCAGGCTCGTGGCGCATGGCGGGCTGGCGTTCGGACGTCCGGCACAACTGGCAGATGCAGGGCGCCTGCAACATGAGTCTGTGAAAAGATTGCGCGCCCCGTGGTGTGGAGTCCACTCATACCTCCTAATCTTCCTCCTCCTTCACCATCAGCACCATCAGCACCATCAGCACCATCAGCACCATCAGCACCATCAGCACCATCAGCACCATCAGCACCATCATCACCATCATCATCATCATCATCATCATCATCAGCAGCAGCAGCAGCAGCAGCCATTATCATCATCATCATCATCATCATCATCATCATCGTCATCATCATCATCACCATCACCATCACCATCACCATCACCATCACCATCACCATCACCATCACCATCACCATCACCATCATCATCATCATCATCAACATCATCATCATGATCATCATCATCATCATCATCAGCATCATCATCATCATCATCATCATCATAAGTATCATCATCATCAGCATCATCATCAGCATCAGCATCACCATCAGCAGCAACAGCAGCAGCATCATCAGCAGCAGCATCATCACCACCATCATCAGCATCGGCATCAGCCCCAGCAGCATTATAATCGAAATCAGCCTGTGCATCATCATAATCATCAGACTTATTATCAGCACACTCCTCATTACCATCATCAACACGATCATCATCAGCAGCATCATCCTCAGCATCAGCATCAGCGCCGCCATTATCATCATCGTCATCGGCATTGTCATCGTCAATATCATCATTAGCATCATCATCACAATCATTGTCGTCATCATCATCATCATCATCTGCATCATCACCAGCACCATGATCATCAGAATAACCATCATACCATAACCATTAGCATCCCCATAATCAGTATCGCCACCAGCATCCTCATCATCATGATCATGATCATCATCATAATCCGCGCCATCATCATCAGCAGTATCATCAGCAGCATCCTTCTCATCATCATCAGCATCATCAACATCGCCATCATCATCCTCATCATCATCAACATCATCACAATCCTAGTCATCATCATATCATCGTCATCATCGTCGTCGTCGGCATCGTCGTCATCCTCGTCACCATCAGCAGCATCATCATCGTCAGCATCAGCAGCATCATCGTCGTCATCATCGTCATCGTCATCGTCACCACCCCCATCATCATTATCAGCAGCATCAGCATCAGCATCAGCAACAGCATCATGATCAGTATCATCAGCAGCATCATCAGCAGCAGCATCAGCCTCATCGTCATTAGCAGCATCGCCATCATCATCATCATCATCATCATCATCATCATCATTATCATCATCATAAGCATGATCACCATCATTATCACCATCATCGCCATCATCATCGTCATCATCATAATCGTCAGCATCGTCATCATCATCGTCGTCATAGTCATCGTCATCGACATCATCATCATCAGCATCATCATGATTGCCGCCATCAGCTTCATCGGCATCATCATCAGCATCATCATAATCATCATCATCGTCATCATCATCATCGTCATCATCCTCATCATCATGATCATGATCATGATCATGATCATCATCATCATCATCAGCATCAGCATCAGCATCAGCATCAGCATCAGCATCAGCATCAGCATCATCATCATCATCATCATCATCATCATCCTGCCCGTCCGCCAGTAGTCCTCCTCTACTGATCCTCATAATGTCGTTTGCATCGCCATCATCAACGTCCTCATAGATCTGAACAGCTGCCACCGAGACTGCTGGACTGGCACGGCGGCAGTGCTTGCCGCAGGCAGCTGGACTGCGTGTCCCGTGGCGTGGAGTCCACACATATCCAAGGGCTCCCAACTTCGCGCTTCGTGCTGCGCGAAGCGCGAACAACTCCGCGCTCTCGCCCCGCCTCCCAGGGGAGAAGGGGAGGATGAGGATGAATCGGAGCCGAACTGCGAAGCGCGAATAACTTCGCGCCCTCGAGGGCGCCCTTGCATATCGCACCTGCATCGCATGGCCACTCCGAGTTGCTCAAAAAGCATGTGTGTGCGGGGTGAATGCGTGGGGGGGGGGGAGGGGGCAAGAGTGAGATACCCTTCGCGGGGCGTGGGGAGTGGGATCACGATCACGCTCCTCCTCCTCCTCCTCCTCCTCCTCCTCCTCCTCCTCGTCCTCCTCGTCCTCCTCCTCCTACTTCTCCTCCTCCTCCTCCTGCACCTCCTCCTCCTCCTCCTCCTCGTCCTCCTCGATCCTCCTGGGGGCTGGGACGGGCCGTTGGGCGGAGTGGCATGGGGGGGGGGCCTATTGAAAAACCCGGAGCAGAGAGGCGTGCGAAACGTCAGGTTCTGACACCGCCGGGATCGTTCAACCTTGAACGATCGGCCGTTTCCGAAACGTCCAACTCGTTCCACATCGAACGATTCTGGGTCGCCCGCGGTGTTCAACGTTAAACGCCGCTGGCGGGGTCGCCGCCAGTCGACACAACACGAACCTACCGTACTCTTGTTTGCCTGTCTGCATGCGCAACGGAAACAGCACGGCAAACGGAAGGCTGAACCTGCTTCGCCTGCGGCCGATGACCAATACCCCATGATAGCCCACCGTACGGGATGGAGGGAGAACGTCGGACGATGAGGCAGACTGGGGAAATCAGTAGGATGGAGAGGATGAGGGAGGACGAGGAAGGGGAGGAGGGGCGAGAAAGAGGCGGAGGACACACAGGCGGACGACTGGGAGGAAGGGACAGAGGAGAACCCACAGCAAGAGGAAGGGAACGACGACGACGACGACAAGGACAAGGACGTCGGGGGGAGGGAAGACTAGAAGAAGAGAAACCGAAATGAACAGAAACTTTCGGCGCTACGCGCAGATTCCTTGGATCTGCGCAGGGTTTGACGTTTTGGCGCGCGGAGCGCGCCCCTGGCGGCGCCGGAGGCGCGGGGGGGCCCCGCGCGGATCCAAGAAATCCGCGCGGAGCGCCGAAAGTTCATGTTTGTGCCATTCGGTCTGCTTCGAAGGATGGGGAACAGGCAGGAGGGTGGGCGGGGAGGTGCCAGGGAGGGAGGTGCGGAAAAGGGGGGCCAGATCGCGCTGGGCTTAGGTCGGGCATGTCCCCCTGCAGGCGGCTTGTGGACGAGCAATATACACACTTGTCTAAAGATGCCAAAATTTGACCAGCATAGTCAAAAAATCGTCCCCTGCCTATTCTTTGACTATTTGGGAATTTTCCTCCTGTAGAGGGACAGGCCCGACTTTAACGTTGGGCGCCTGCGTGTTTTGGCTGCTGGCCATCAGCGCCTGCTCCAGGTGCGCCACGTCCTGCCGCAGGGACGCCATCCTGCCTCGCAGCAGGGCCGACTGCCGCGCCTCGCGGGGCACCAGCTCCTCCTCTCTCCTCCTCCTCCTCCTCCTCCTCCACCTCCTCCTCCTCCTCCTCCTCCTCCTCCTCCTCCTCCTCCTCCTCCTCCTCCTCCTCCTCCTCCTCCTCGGCAGGACGCCGAGGAGCGGGAGCTGGAGGCAGGCGTCCTGCAGGATGCACCCTTCTTCTTCCCCATCAGACAGCGACGACATTCGCTGGTGACCTTCCCGGCGACGAGCACTGTGGAACGGTTTCCTCGACGTAATCTTAGGTCGGGCATGTCCCCTTACAGGAGGATTTTAAACGAAAGAAACATACCCCCCCAAATGCGCAGAAATGACATATAATAGTAGAAACATCGTCCCCAAACTACTTTTACTGCAGAGGGACGTGCCCGACTTACAGGTAGGCGTCCTGCAGGATGCGCCCTTCGCTTCCCCATCAGAAAGCGACGACATTCGCCGGTGACCTTCTGGGCGACGAGCGCTCCGGAGCGGCAGCCTCGACGTCATCGCGTCGTGAACACCGAGGAGCGGGAGTTGGAGGTAGGCGTCCTGCAGGATGCGCCCTTCGCTTCCCCATCAGACAGCGACGACATTCGCCGGTGACCTCCTGGGCGACGAGCGCTCCGGAGCGGCAGCCTCGACGTCATCGCGTCGTGAACACCGAGGAGCGGGAGTTGGAGGTAGGCGTCCTGCAGGATGCGCCCTTCGCTTCCCCATCAGACAGCGACGACATTCGCCGGTGACCTCCTGGGCGACGAGCGCTCCGGAGCGGCAGCCTCGACGTCATCGCGTCGCGAAAAAAATCACGGCGGGCGGCTGCTGATGATCAGCTTCGGCCTCCGGGGGCCCCGTCGCCAGGCCCAGAGCCGTCGCAAGACAGCTAGGGATGAAGAAACAGTCCTGGGGACAGGATCGGGAACTCCTGGGACCCCGTAATGAACAAAAACTCAAAACAAATGTTGAGTCGGGCGTGTCCCGCTGCAGGAGGAATATTCAACAATAGGCAAAAAATAGTCTGGGGACGATTATTAAAAATATGGTTTGACTATTTTTGAACATTTTTGGGGTATTTTTAATGTTTCGTCCAAAATCCGCCTGTCGAGGACATGCCCGACCTAAAACAAATGGGATTTTTGATTTGCGCGCGGGTGATCGTCTGCCGAACACTCCTGCCCGTGGCGCCGAAACGACGCGCGAGGGGCCCGAAGAAGGGCCGAAAGAAACGAGGGACGGACCAGGACCCGAACAGAGCCGAGCGAGGGACCGACCCGAGCAAAAAGGGACAACGAAAACTCGAGGGCCCGAGACACGCGATGCTGGCAAGACTGGTGAAACAATTTGAAGCCCGCGTCCTGGCTCCTGGGCTTCCAGCCTCAACCTGCCAGGCAGCACATTATACAACAGACCAGCAAGGCGGCGGAGAGCCCTTTCCTCTCTTCGCGAGCCTGGGCTGGGGGGGGGGCAAAAGGAGCACATAAAGGATGAGTGGGCGCAGGCGGTACGGGTGCCTGCTTCTCAGCGCCTCTGTACCCACTCATCCTAAGCCTAGCCTATGTCCGACTGTCCGACTGTAGGGAGAAAGCATAGACAGAGAGGCTGCACAGAAAACCCCAAGCGGCGGGCGGGCAAGAGTCTTCTCTCTTTGCGAGCCTGGCCAGGGGAGGAATGACAAGAGCACAGAAGGGATAAGTGGGCGCAGGCGGAACGGGTGCCTGCTTCTCAGCGCCTCTGTACCCACTTATCCCAAGCCTATCCTACACTTCGACTGTCCGACTGTCCGACTGTAGAGAGAAGGAAGCACAGACAGAGAGGCGTGCACAGCTATCCCCGCGCGGCGGGCAGGCAAGAGTCTTCTCTTTGCGAGCCTGGCCAGGGGAGGAATGACAAAAACACAGACGGGATAAGTGGGCGCAGGCGGAACGGGTGCCTGCTTCTCAGCGCCTCTGTACCCACTTATCCCAAGCCTACCCTACTTCCTGGAGACTGCCCTCTGTGGCGGCCAGGAAGGGGAGTACTGCAGAACGACACTTCTGGCGGCTGGTGTCGGGGATCCGAGTAGTCCTGCCAGCATCAGAAAGACGAGACAGACCAGATATCCCTAGGCGTGCCAATGCGGCTCGGTGGGCAGCACACACACCAGAACCGTTACATCCACCCCACCACCGAAATATACACGAGAAATCTACGGGGCCTCTAGAAGCCATGCAGGATCAAACAATGCCTGAAAATTAAAGACATCGTGAGGGGCAGGAAAGGCATATATAACGTTGACATTGTCAACCGCAGTGACCTCACCGACTGGTTGACCAGTGCAGGGGTCACGACCATCACACATGCGTCGAAGCCGTGAGATGGTGCCAGAGGCCCGAGGGGGCCCAGTGCATAATTTAGTTAAACCAACTGCTTTCTTGCACGAATAGCGGCCGCATCGTCGACAAAATATGATATCATTTAGTCGCCTGAGCACGTGCCCACCGCCAGTGGGAGAAGAACACTGCGTACGCAATAAATAGCTCTTGGAAACTGAACTAGCCCAACAATTCAGGCATCGAAACCGACCCGCCGAGGGGTCCCAGAAGTGCTCATGCAATGCCCCAGAGGAGGCGCCATAGAGGGCTAGGGATGGGGCCGTGGGGGCGGGGGACTCATCAGAATCCACCACCCAAACCTTTTTGGGCACGTTCTTGAAAATCCATGCTATACAATGCCCGATATACACACCAAGATTGCGCACAGGCAATCCAGAGCGCTTGACACGGTCGTGCAGTACCGTGTCCAGTGTGTGTAGGTCAGCACCTAGGTTAGCAAGTCTGTCCGCTTGCTTAGTACCAGCAGAGGTGGAATGGCCACGAACCTTGGTGACCTTAATTAAATGATACCACATATCTGAAGCCGCACGGTGGACACGGACCCACATGGATGCGTGAGTGGCCCATCCGCGCGTGGTAGCTTCATACCCCAATGCCCATCCGTCCACAACGTACTGCGCATCAGTGACAAACTCATAGCAGTCAGAGGGGGCAGCATGGGTTAGGTAAAATAAAAACGCATAAAGCTCAGCCCCTGAGACATCCTGGGTGAGAAAGGGATATGCGCCATAAGCACCCGCATTATGCCGAAGCCGATCATCGGCGATGGCCTCTCCGAAAACATTGCGACTACGCGGGGCAAATGAGCATGCACCCCATCCACAGCGGAGAGTGAGCGGCGAGGGACCATGCTTTCCCGAGCCATCTCCAAACGCGGGCGACGAGAAGAAGGGGCCGCCTGTGGCCCCTTCCCAGACAGGGTCTGGAAAAGGTGGTGCGAGCAGGGAGCAATAGCGAGGGTCGGGAACCACGGCAGTGGTCCAGACAGGGTTCTCGCGGTACTGCTCCATGCAGCGGGTGAGGGCTGGAGTCGGGCCGAACCAACGACGAAACTCCACGAGCCCATCGCGCTCATACAGGGTGTGAAACACGGGGTCAGAGGGGGCGACCTGGCAAATGGGGCACACAGGTTTTAAGTAAATGCCCCCAGATAAAAAAAAAAGGTCCTCAAAGCACGTTGCTGGAGGACACCCCATCCTTCAGTCTTTTTAGACAAAAGGGAAAGAAGAGGGGGAAGAAAGGGAGGGCCAGACAGGTGATTGAAGGATGGGTGACGCTCAGAGGCCTGTTTCCAGGACCAGACAGACGCGTCGCGAGTCACTAGTGCCACCACTTCACGAGGGGCAGTAGACGAAATCTCAACGTCGGTTCCAACAGAAGTGCGCCATATTGTAGGCGAAACCGCAGACCACCCAATTCTACGCATAGTGACAACCAAAATTTGTCCTGTGCCCTGCAATTCAGTCCACGGGGTTTCTGGCGCCACCTTGGCGTAGGCAAACTGGAAAACTTGATCTATCATTCCGACAGGAAGAAGAGAGTCCCATCTAGAGACAAACCAGAGACGAATAACCTCAGCATGAGCATCGATAGCAGGATCGGTAACACCATGCAACGCCAAATCCATCGTGACAGACCTGCGCTTACCTGTGCCGAGACCAGCGTGGTATATAGCACGGACCTGGCGAATCTGGTGAGTAGATAGACCGACGACGTCAATGCCGTACATGACAGTGGGCCGCAAGTTAGTGTTTACAATACCTGCTACCTTTGCACCAGCCTTCTGTATCTTCAATAAGCGACGGGCCTTAAACCTGGCCTTTTTCAATCGGCCAGAAGGAACATGACGAGAACGACGCCCCTGACGTAGCTGATAGTCAACCCCGAGGTTTCGACACGAGAACTTGACTGCACCAGCGAGACGAGGAGTTTCAGCTGCAATGCTCTGAGCCAACTGGGGGTCGGTAGCCAAGAGCACGACTTTCTTCTCGGAGAGCGGTAAGCATGCAGAGAAGGTAAGCTTGCTCATCAAAAGGCGCGACGCATCGGGACCGATTTTGAGCAACTCCCCCCCCGAGCCTATCCCCAGGACCTGGACGTCGTCGGCGACGAGGCCGAGGTGCAAATTTGGATAAGACTGACGAAACGAATCCAACTCGGGCATCAATAAAATACGCATAAACAGGTCGGCAAACGAGCAACCTGCTACAATAGTCTTGCTAGCTCTGACCCACTCCCCAACAATTCGCCGCGCCGTGACAACACGTGGGGAACGATACAGAGACAGGAAAACCTTCAAGAGTGCTGGATGAAAACCAAACTCACTAGCACGTCTTATGAGAAGTTTGTGGCGAACCTGCCCAAATGCCTTCTGGATGTCGAGCAAAAGTGCAAACACACACAAACCTTTGGCAGATGCTAACTCCGTGAGCACGCCCATGCGCCACACACATGCCTGGCAGGAATGGCCGCGCACACCATGCACGTACGGACGAGGATGCAATCGCGCCCACATAGCACCATACGTGTGCCTGAAGAACCGAGAGAACGTGCGCACACACGTCGTGAATAGGGCAACCGTACGCTCGCCACCATCATGCTCTGGGATCAGATTCATGATGAAAACAGCGAGAA